TTCATGTATCTCAATTGGCAGAGCATGATGCTTGCCAAGGTCATGAGTTTGTATTAGAGGGAACACTTTGAATGTGTATCTTAATGTACTGCTTTGAATAAAAGTGTCTGCAAACAAATAATGCAAATGTCGCCTAAATGTTCTGTATAAGCTAACTTCCTTGTAGCTATTGAGGGCAAAAAAGTTGACCGGACAAATGTCGATATTAAAATTATATTAGCAAATTCTGTTTTGGCTGTGCTATTTGGGGTTGAGTCACTATGTTGGAGGCACATGTTAGCTTTGATTGCTCATCTTATTTTATACAAATCACCTCTGCCCTGGCATCTTTGAAGGAATGTGATGCTGGTTGTCAGTTTGCCAAACACAAGAGGAAAAGTTTGATATCGCATCGCAAAGGTCATATTTTGTAGTTTGTTTTTGAATGTCATAGATTTACACCAGATGTTTAGTGTGAAAAAACATCAGTATGTGGCTGAAAAGTAAAAAAAAAAAGAAGTTGGGTAACACTTTATTTTACAGTGTCCTTGTTACATATGTTACTACTTTCCATAGTAATAACAGTAAATTATCCATAATTACATGCAAGTAACCCCTTAACCAAATCCTAATCCTACTCTAACCTTTAGTAAGTACACGTAGTTGCTTATTATTACTCAGTACTTAAATATATAATTACACTGTAACAATGACACCTTAAAATAAAGTGTAACCAAATGTCGCATCTGCATCATGAGGTGATCCTCTTCAAAATGTTGTTTTAATTAGGCTAGTCTGAGTAAATTCTGGGGATGGCACCTGGTATCTGAGCTCTTAGGAATTTGTGCTCAGATGTCCAACCTTATAAAGTTACATGGCATTGAAATGTGTGTATGATTAATTATTTTCTCACAGCTAATTATTTAATCCAGTTGTAAAATGCAAGACCTTTCTGGGTAGTAGTTTCCGGGTAGCTAGGATGCTCATGTTTCAAAACAAGTTCCCAGTTATCTTTAACTCCCGACCCTCTTCATTTGGGATCGGACTAAATTTAATAGGTGACAGCTGGTAGAGGTATATTTAGAACACAGGTGGCCATGAGAGCCTTAGTGCCCTGCAGTTCCTCTCCAGTCAAGTGCAGAACCGAGGCAGAACAAAGCCAGCCCAGTCCTCAACGCACATTCACCTGTCAAATACAGGTTCAGTCGCGCCAACAGGAAGACACCTGCAGACCTGTTCATTCAACTAACACCTCCTGTACTCTTCGAGTAGTTGCCCTGTCGTTTAAATCATTTTTCAAATGTTTATAACCCCATCTCTGTCCTAAAGGAATCCTAAAATATATGAGTGTGGGAGTGTTAATGTCTAGTAATTTTGGATAATTATGCAATCTTAAACAGCTTTAAAAAATCCTATTGAAATTTCCATAAGGCAAGACTAATGATGACCTCAGCAGTCGAGAAAGTGTGTTGATGCTGCCTGTGTGGCATTTGCTGGGCATTGGCATTAGCAGAGCGTGCCAGGGGAGCCCTTGCACAGGGGTTACTTGAGCACAGCTGAGTGGGGAAGAGGGGAAGCTTTCCATATCACATCTTACCTTCAATAGGGCCCCATTTACACTGCATGGTTCAAGTGACCCAAATCCGATTTTTTCCTCTCATGTGGCACAGATCGGATATGACCCATGAACGTGTAAGCAGGAAAAAAACGCATGGATTCCGATTTTCTCAGATCGGATTCAGGCCTCACTCATATGTGGTAATAAATCGGATATGAATCGGATACGTGCATTTGCGTGTGCCATGTAAGCAGACAAATCGGATATTCCCCAGTAAATGCGAGTCGTACGTCATTAAAAAAGTGACGTCAACTGAGGTGGACACCACCAACTGAGATCACATGACTTATTATAGGCGCGATGAAGGACGAAGGATACACACAGTGGAGCAATGCGGAGGTCTTCTATGGTAGAGTTTATTAGGCCCAGAGGAAATGGCACCTATTCATAAAAAAAAAGAAAGGTTCCAGGACTGTGAATTTCAATTTTAAGCAAGTGTAATTTATAATATTATAATTGTTGTATAATTCTAGGTGTGTACTAGAATTTTGTTTTAGTTTTTTTGTTATTTATGTTTAGTGTCTGAAAACTTATTTTAATTAATTGCAGAATGTTTAATTCCAGCATAATGTTTTTTAATCAGAAAATAATTAATTTCTTTTTAATAATTCTAATATTAATATATGTTTTAATATTTAATTCAAGAATTGATGTTTTTTTTAAGTATTAAAAATTGCTTAATTCCAGGATGAATATATTTTTTTAATCATTCCAAAATGTTAAATTCCCAAATTAATTATTTTTAAATTGTTCTAGAATGTTAAATGTGCTGCCTTAGCTTGGACCGTATTCATTACAGCATAGTCCCTTATTATTGCTTAAATAGATTTCTGTATGATTTTTTTCACTCTGATTCTAGTCTGCGCTTTCTGCCACGATGAGAGTTCTGGCCCAGATGAGTCATGCATTGGGTTTTGTTGTTTGATTACTTGGAACATGTGCCCTTGATGATGTCATTTGCATTTAATCCTTCAATTAATTGGCCTTTTTGAAGTCAAGCCAGGACTTCTGGGAAAGAAGACTTTGCTGGGTGCCTATTGTGTAAACCTGTTTACAAACAAGCCTTGTTGATCACTAAGTCTGGTTAATTCAGAAGCTATAAGGTTCAGTTTGTATTAATTAATTAGTAGGGGTGGGAAACTTTTGGTACCTCAAGATTCGATTAAAAATCGATTCTCGATTTTGAATAAAATTTTGATTCGATATATTTGATTGTAGTGTACTGATTTGTGTTTTTTTATTTGACTGCGGTAGACAATTCAATAGGTCTAGAAGAAGAAATCTCACTGAATTAATTGTAAACCTTGAAATTTATTTAGTTTTTCTTCCTATTTTTGTCAACCCAATATTATAAAACAAATGCCATTTAAGCTGACTGCAGTCATTACACATGACTGGCAGTTTTCTGTAATAAAGCAAGACAGACCTGAGACGAATAGGTTAGAAAAACTTCTTAGTACATAAATAAAATTCCTTGATAAAAAAAGAAAAAAACTTTTGCTAATATAAAACTGGTAAATGAAATTTAAATAAATAAACAATAGGACAAATACAATGGAAAAAAAGTTTTTCTAAGTAGCCTAGTTTTATTTAAAATTATGCTTCTGTCCCTTTAAGGACACATGCACGGATCTAATATAATATTACACATCTGATTTGCTCCAAACTGTTTGTGTTCACATAGAACATAACAGACTGTTCATGTGAATACTCCACACGATGTGCATTTTGACATAACTCTGTTTATTTGACCATTCAAGAGCAATAAGCTGTAAAAGGGAACTGAATTCGGGATTGCATGCATCTGTGCTGTGCACATTGCACATTCACTCTAAAAAATGCTGGGTTGTTTCAACCCAAATTTGGGTCAAATATGGACAAACCCAAATGTTGGGTTAAAAATGTAATTAAAAAATTTACAGTTGAAAGTGAAAGTTGAAGTTGGGTTAACATTTTAAATGACATTTTTAACCCAACATTTGGGTTTGTCCATATTTGACCCAAATTTGGGTTAAAACAACCCAGCATTGTTTAGAGTGTTGAGTCCTTTTTCGCAGCTTATTGTGATTTAATAACACTCTTAACTTTTCAATAACTTTTAGTACAGCGAAGTTTAAGAAATGTACAACTTTAGAATATCGATTTTTGAAATGTGTGAATCGATGCAAATTGGCAGAAGATAGCATCGCGATTCATATGTGAATCAATTTTTTCCCCCAAACACATGATGTGGGGACCCGATTGGAATTTCTCCATTTATTTAGTTTGTTTCCCTTTTTCTCTGCCCATGTTTTGTCTTCTAAACTTCTCTTTAGCTAGACTAGACACATAAATACCGATGGCATCTTGAAAACTAAAAAGGAACAAAAATAAAGCGTGCCACTGCCTACAGTAAAGATTAGTGAACATTCATAGGTTGGAGTGACTATATTTACCTCAGAGCCAACAGAGCACCTGAAAACACACTGCACTACTGGGCAGAGAGACCTATCCAACCTTCCAGCTTTACGTAAAAGGATTTGGCTCAAGATGTGCTAAGCCCTCAACAAGAGTAGCAGGGTAACTATAGGGGTGGCAGTCTGTCTGTTTTCTTATCTGTTAAGTCCTGTGATTTACGTGGTTTAGGCATCAAAATGATAACCTCATGAAGAAATAAGTGGCTGTCTAATTTTGTGGTTTCCTCTCCACTCTTGAGCAAATATGTTGCTGAACTGTGTAGGACCTGTTTCTGTAGGACCCGTTTCTTTCAACTGTATGAATTCCACCATTTTTTCGCCTATCAAAATATAGCCTAACCTATATAGAGACCTTATATTTAAAGGGACAGTTCACCTAAAAATGAAAATTCTGTCATTTACTCACCCTATACATTTACTCACTTTTGTGGAACACAAAAGTTTATTTTGAAGAATGTTCAGCAACCCCATGGACTTTCATTGTATAGATTTTTTTTTAAACTTTTTATTTTTATTTTTTTATATCATCTTTTGTGTTCCACAAAATAAAGTCAGTCAAATGGTTTTGGAATGACATGAGGGTGCGTAGATTATGACATTTGAATTTTTGGGTGAATTATTCTTTGAAGGCTGCCATTTTATATATTCTTTCCTCAGTCATGTTGTGAAAATATTATTAAATTAACAGGGCCGAACATGGAAGTATGTGAGTTTTAAACAGCTTACAGTCAAGTTAACTCTGGAGTAGTTTCCTTACACTCTTGTTGCAGCAGGGAACGAAGTGTGTATAATACCTCAAAGCCTATGGCAAAACATAAACAAGACGTGTGTACGTGGTTATACCTATTAGGTTCATTGGCCATGCTATTTTTAATATTGTGATGGAAAGAAAGAGGTGGGGGGTGGACCTGTTCACTGCTCCCCCTAAGAGCATTACGAGTGCGTTTGTTTGTGACATTAGCAGAGTGTGCTGTCACTGTCATATGGCAAGCCAAGGCAGCCTCGACTGGTTTAGAACAGAGACGGTTATTGCGGATTGCAACTGTTCACTCTCCGCTGTTCCCACCAGAGCCCTGGGCTTAATCCCGAGCAGAACGCAGCCTGTCACAGAGGTAAGGGGGAAACAACTCTCACGAGTCACGGGGGAGATCAGACAGAACCGTTCCGCATGATTTTCTCACGCGTGTTATTGGGGGAAAAGACGTGTAACTGAGGTTTCCTGGTGTTTTACTTCTTTCTCTTTTGAACTCGGTTGTGATTCTTTTTTCATGTGTATATGAATTTTAGATGGTTGTTCTGTGTCATTGTTTGAGAAGTTGGCATAGGTGAGCGCTGTATATGCGCCGCTGTCAAACCCACTGCTGTTTATTGTTGGTAATTCTGAGTTAGTGTTCTGTCACTCTGTTTAATTTTTAATGAGATCTTTCACCCAAAATTGTCATCATATACTCACCCTCATGCAGTTCCAAACATGTTTGATTTTATTTCTTCTGTTAAACACAAAATATTATGTTAAACGACTTCAGACATTTATTGAATTTTTTTTAAACATTTAATAAAAAGTGAATAGTGCCGAGACATTTTGAATAAATGATAATGATTTAAATTAAATTATATACATAATCATAATTTGTGATTTACAAATATATATTTATTTGAGTTAACTATTTGTCCATTTACATCCTAAATCCATTACCTTAAATGTATTTCCTTTTTGCTTTATTTGCCTTTGTCTAAAGACTCATTTCTGCATTTTCTTTGAAACCTTTCTTCAAATGTGCCAGATTCGGGAAATTCTATGGCTTTGTCTGATGTATTAAATATCATCATAATTTGATTTAGGAACATATTTGTGTTATTTTAACCTATTTGTCCATTTAAATATCCTGTACCGTTGCTTTATTTAACTTCTATATTTACATCATTTAGATTATTTTATCATTTATTCTTTGAAACTTGTTTTGAAGTTGCCAAAGAACTTTAAGAGGATTATATTATATTATATTATATTATATTATATTATATTATATTATATTATATTATATTATATTATATTATATTATATTATATTATAATATATTCACAACAGTTATTTAACCCTAATTGATGGAGTGTGTAGCTTTTCATTTCTTAAACAACCATGGAGGAAGACACGTCATGGCCATATTCCATGACACTGTCAAGATTCATCAGGCTCAAATTGTGAAACAATGTTTGGGAGGGAGCATGAAGAATCATTTTCACACATGAATTGGCACCTTTGAGTCCAGACCTTAAATTCATTGAAAGTCCTTGGGATGTGCTGGAGTAGACTATACAGAATGCTTGACTCTTGCATTGTCAATACAAAATCTTGATCAAAAATTGATGCACCTTTATTTTCATCAAGAGGTGCAACAATTTTTGGTCAAGATTTTGTATTGACAATGCAAGAGTACAGTGTATTATATTATATTATATTATATTATATTATATTATATTATATTATATTATATTATATTATATTATATTATATTATATTATATTATAATAATGCTGTACCATTTGCAGAATCACCGAACTTGCGTCCTCCTGTCCTCTGGAGTTTGTACTCCTGAGTCGAACTTGGCAAGTCTGAAATACCAAGGACACACAAACTTTTTTTGGGTTGGTGCATGGTTCGTCTCATAGACTGTAAAAAAAGATGGACGACGCCCCTTCGCTCTTTTCCATCGGAGAGAACTGAAGCCGCCAGTGTCCCGATATGGCGCTGACATCTTGGGACTTGAGTCTGCACACTTGCGTTTTCGGGACCAGACATGCGCAGTCGTGAGCAGGAAGTAAAGCTGCGAAATCAAGGCCCCGCCCTCACTCCGAATCAATCGCAAGCACACGCCCCTGCACTTTTCTTAAGTGGCCTTGTCTGCTCCGTTCCTCTCCAATGATGTCTGCTGATTGCAGTACCTCGTTAAAATAAGGTAAATACAACTACTACCCACATAGTCAACATTATGAAAAAAAGTCCGTTGGTGCTTCAGTGACTATACTTCACACAGAGAACCTGTCAATCACAGCTGTCAATCATGATGTCACAGCACCGTTTTTATAGCATCAAATAACTAACTAAAAACAAACTTATTTTAAAAACAAACACTTGAAATTACATCAACGTGATAGAAACTACTGTAAATGACAGAAACTATCACTGGAAAAAGGATATGTGAAGTGTAATTTAATTGTTTAGTTGGTCTCACGTCCTGTTGAATAACATGGGGAGGCGGGGCTTATGACCTATACTAGGACCGGCCACCGGGGGGGCGATCGAGACGTTTTGGCTTCACTTTTCAGGGCTTGTGCGGCACGCTTGGTTCGTCTCTTTGTTGTGGCGGTTAGCAAACAGTGTTGCATTACCGCACATGCCCCCCCCCCCTTCTGGATTGGAGTGTGGATCGCTTTTGTATTCGTTCTCCGACTGTATGCGTGACAGATCGGGACAAATACATGTACCGTGACACCCCTATTAAATTATAAATAAAGAATATGTATACGAATGGATTGGTATGTGATCGTCTAAAATGTGTTAATTTTTCTTTCTGTCTTGTTCTCTTAACAGCTTTCTTCTCCAGCTTCTTGTTTGTTAATGGAGTTCCGGCAGGGCAGCGGTGATTACTGCCACGCCCAACATCGCAACGCATGATCACGGGTGAATACGCCCGGAATCTGTCCCTGAATGTCCAGAGAAACGCCTTCTCTGCTCTTCTCTTGCTGGTCTTTCTGACTGACCACTTTGTTGTGCGCCAAATGGGTTAACTGGCATCGCGGCACCTGGCATTTAACTACCGGACACTTTTCCACCTGTCTAGTTGCCAGAGTATCAAGAGGAAGAAGCCAATTTGTTTGAAGAGGAAGACTCTTGTTGGCTCTAACTTCCCAGAAAGGCAGCTTTAAATTTTATATACTGATTAGTAGTGATTTATCACGGAGGATCCTACAAATCCCGGACACCTTCACTGTGATCTGCTGTAGCACTGCTCTAGGTCAGAGTAGTGCCGTACTGTGAGTGGAGCTCTGTGGATTCTGGCCCGGACTGGGTGCTGTGTTTACTGTACAGTGGAGGGACACCAGCATGACCAAGATGAACCGTCCGGCTCCTGTCGAGGTCTGCTACAAAAACATGCGCTTCCTTATCACGCACAACCCAACCAATGCAACATTAAGCAGCTTCATTGAGGTGAGAGACCATTCAAACATATGCAACAGATCATTTTTAAGATATGAAAGATCATAAATATTCTTCTCCGAAAGAGTCACTAATTACTGTGATGTGACATTCATTGCTGCAGATAAATGGACAGCAAGCAAGAACAAATGAAAAACATTTGTTCAAAATCCTAAATGTACTCTGTTGAATCCCTCAAAACTCAAAAGCTTGTTTCCTCAGGATTTGAAGAAGTATGGGGCAACAACAGTAGTGCGTGTGTGTGAAATCACCTATGATAAGACGCCGCTGGAAAAGGACGGAATTACTGTCATGGTGAGATATATTTCTTTGTTATACTACAAATAAGTGTCTACTGTAAAGTATTTTTTTAAAGTAAATTTTCCTTTGCCGCCTCCTATGCAGTCCTTTCATTTTTATTTTTGAAAACTTAGACATGGGTTTTGAGTAATGTTAAAACTATTGATAGACTGATAATCGCCAATATTTTTTTATATTCATGGTTTTCTACACTGTCATTGATTCCTTAATAGATCTACCGATAAATGCCCAAAATCTTGTTCCAAATTAACTTTTGGAAACATTCCACTTTATCCTAAGTGACTGAAAATTATTATAATTTTTTTTTTATCAATATCCGAATGTATCATAAGAATCTATCGGTCAAACTCTAGTTAAAATGATTGTATTGTGTTAGTTAGAAACTACTGTATAGATTGACTATGTAATTGACTCTCAGTGTAATACTAGCACTGATCATTTTCTTGGCTTTTCTGCGTTTTGTTTTTAGATGCATTTTCATCTTGCACCTTCTGTACTTTGTGTGTGTGTGTGTGTGTGTGTGTGTGTGTGAGTGCACTGTCACCTGAATGTAATAATCCTGGACAGTTTCCTGATCATGAGTGTGTCACTCCATGCCATCTGTACTTTAATTAACACTTCTGCTTTACTGCAGTGATGCTACTGTAATTAGTGGTACTCTAATGCAGGTTATTGGCTTCCTCTGACATCAAGTAAAGACTGTCTGAATTCATATGTAGGATGAGGTTTGTTCTGGTCAGCAGAAACCACATCTACAAAGCCCTGCAGCACTTCTATATTTCTGGAACACACATGCTGTATGAATTGGCTGCCCAGTCATGTGATATGATGTCAAGTGGAGTGAGATGAGGTTTCTTTTTTGTCTGGTGCTCTGAAGGGAGCTCTGCATTTGAGGATACAATCCTATAACGTTCTGCCAAACATCATATCTTTCTCTGCCTTCACCTTTTTTTTTTTAAACTACTTGAATCCAACATCCACATGTGTTTTCAGTTTGGCTCGTCAACATTTCCCCGTTACCATGGCAGCCAGAGGGGAGCTTGATCTATCTCCATCTGAGCTTTTTATTAAGACTCATACACCCTTGTGCCCTTTTACTCTGTTGAACTTCTTATTAAATGATAAGATGTATACATGATGCTACATATTTAACTTTGGCTTCTAGAAGAATTCTAGAAATGTAGCTGTCTAAGCCTCCTAGATTGACCTGAGGTCATAGTGAATTTATCCAGCATTCTGGTGCATTTCAGGCTTTACTTTTAGAAACTGTAACATGCATGAGAAGCTTAGCAGAAGCACAGTTATGTAAATCAACTTCCTCCATGGTGCCATCAAGAGAAAAGTCAGTTTCCGCAAGAGAGAAACACTCTTAAACACAGAGCCTGTTTGAAACATTGCTGCTGTGTGTTTACATGATGTAAAGCTTCAGTCCATGGCTCTCCTTTAAAAGAGCATGGAGCTTGTTCAAAACATGAATGCATTCATCATTGTTTAGTTGTTTTATCTATTCCTCAACAAGATTTTAGACTGAGGATCAACTTGAATAGTGTACTTGGTCACTTAAAGCTGAAATGTGTACTTTCTGTATCACTAGTGTCACAAAACGGAATATCAAAAATAATGACTATTTTCAAATGGGTTTTGCAGAATACTCCCCTGCCTGATATTGGTTGGAACAAAACTGATAGACCTGCCCCTAACTAATGCCATTGGTTGAGCCAGTGTTGCTGTTGTCATGCTGGTCAGGATACCTAAACAAACAGAGCAATGTTTTGATTGTACCCTAGAGCCACAGTGTTTATACTTTTCTAGGAAATAAACTTACAAATGGCTTACTTGTGCTGTCATATAAAGAAGAAAAAACTGTAATTCTTTTTTATCTTTTTACGGTCTTTTAGACTGTTTGGTAAAGCTATTTTCAGATTAAGAGAAAACATTTAAACTACTGTTCAAAAGTTTGAAGTAAACAAGATTAAAAGAAATTAATTCTTTCTATTGCAAATAAATGCTGTTATATTAAACGTTTAAAAGTGACCACAGTTTCCACAAAAACTTAATTAACAATGTTAATAAAAATAAATGTTTCTTGACACACTGAATCAAAAGAATGATTTCTGATATGAAGGATCATGTGACAGAACGGATTAATGGCTGCTGAAAATTCCACTTTTCTATCACAGAATATACATTTTTATTTTACAGTATATTCAATAGAAAACAGTTATTAGGGCCCAAGCCTTGAAAAGGCGAAGGCCCTATTGTTTTCCTTAGGATTATTTTTTTTAGGGCCCAAGCCTTGAAAAGGCGAAGGCCCTATTGTTTTCCTTAGGATTATTTTTTTAGGGCCCAAGCCCAAAGGGCGAAGGCCCTATTGTTTTCCTTAGGATTATTTATTATTATTATTATTATTTAGGGCCCAAGCCCAAAGGGCGAAGGCCCTATTGTTTTCCTTAGGATTATTTATTAGGGCCCAAGCCCAAAGGGCGAAGGCCCTATTGTTTTCCTTAGGATTATTTATTATTATTATTAGGGCCCAAGCCCAAAGGGCGAAGGCCCTATTGTTTTCCTTAGGATTATTTATTATTCTTCTTATTATTTTTCTGCTACCTTTTGGACACTTTTGGAGGCCTTAACATGCTCAAAAACTCCTGAAACTTTGCACACATGTCAGAACCCGCGGCCATCAGGGCCGGGCTGAAGATGGTACCCGGGCGTGGCAGGGGGGCTCGACAGCGCCCCCTGGAACGGGGTCCGAAAACATGGTCCATAAATCAAACACGCTTGCATGTAATAATATGAAACTCGGTACACATGTAGATCTCCTCGTTTCATATATACTTCACACTCTTACTTTTTACCCCAGCCCAACAGGAAGTCGGCTATTTAGGGTTGTTGGTAAAACACACGCAATGGAATGTGAAATACTCCTCCTAGAGAATTCAAACAAACGGCACGAAACTCGGTCAGCATGAAGTCAAGACATTGAGGATGAAAGTTTGCGAGGGGATTTTTGATATCTCGAACGGTTTGGCCGTGGCGAGGAAACAAAATTATGGCGAGAAACGTGAAACAGGAAGTGTGTCATAACTACTGCATACATTAACTGATCTTGATGAAACTTCAACAGTGTGTTCGTTGTAAGAGGCCGATCACATGGATGTGACTATTGTGAGTCAAAATTATAGCGCCACCAACTGGCAGCAGGAAGTGTGTCACTTCCTAAATGCTTTGAAATCACCCTCTTATTTTTACCCGATTTGCTTCAAACTTTATGTGTATAATGTAAACACACGCCAGATGTAGACCTGTGAAAGGATTATTGATATCTTAGATACTGTTGCCGTGGCAACACATCAAACTTTAATATTCTTGTTTGATGCTTTTGAGACTCTTAGCATGCTTGAAATTGCATGAAACTCGACAGACACAGGTATGCATATGGTTCAGATCAAGCCGGACAACTTTCTAATTATCTGTCATTAGCTCAGACCAAGAGGAAGTCAGATATTTTGGTTTGAATGTGGATGTTTCTGAGAATTTTCTCTCCCTCTCCCTCTGACAGAGAGAATGCACCCTGCCATTCGTGTGTGTCTGTGTGGGGAGGGGGGGAGGGGCTCTTTTAGTTTAAACACAAAATTATACATAGGGCCATACTGCCCTCTTGTGTCCAAAATTATATTTATATATACATTATACATATATTTGGTATGTGACTGAGGACCGAGAGCTTTTAAATACGGGACATTGATAATGGCCACGTGCAGAGCGCTCGAGGGAATTCCTATGGAAGTAGGAATGAACTAAAAAACGTTCGCTCTGTTCTGCTCGCTCGTCGCCATGGACGCGCACCATTATGAATGCCAGTGCAGCCGCATACTTTTTAGTGTCACTTTAAAATTAGTGCAATAACGGGGCCGATTGCTTGAATTGTGAGTTCAATAGTCTATTATTTTTCACGGAAAACACAACAACAAAAGAGTACAAGGATAGATTCGCTGAAATAGGGGCTTTTACATAAAATAGCCTATTCCGTCATCATCTTTTCAGTCAGCTCTTCACTCTCGTGATTAATGAAATTTGACTCCTGTTGCTGATATTTGCTGCAACTTTCGTTCCGCTCACAATTTAGTAAGCAAACACGCTTCAAATGTGTTTTTATTTTATTTTTGTGTATATATATGTGTGTGTATATATATGTGTATATATATATATATATATATATATATATATATATATATATAGCTTATGTTTCAAATATGAGTTAATTAACAATCGTTGGAAAGAATGATACTTTTAATATCACTAAACCGTCATTAGGTGTCGCCAGGCGACCGTCTTAATGAGCGAGTCATTGATTCATTCGTTCAAACGATTCGTTCGAACGGCTGAGTCATTCATGAATGAGACAGATTATGGATTGGTCGTTGAATCTTTGAGTCAACCGATTCGTTCAAAATGCTGAATCATTCAGTAATGAGAACGCGTTGCTGTGAGATGCTCGATGGTTCTGCTGTGATCTTTGTTTAACTATTTTCGCTGCTGAAACAGAAAAAAAAGTCAATATTGCATCTAAAATGTAAGTGATTTGACGTGTGTGTGTGTGTGTGTGTGTGTGTGTGTGTGTGTGTGTGTGTGTGTGTGTGTGTGTGTGTGTGATTGTGTCTGTTACAGTGATTGTTTAACCCTTGTTAAAGTTTAGGCCTTGTCTTTTTGGATATATATCTTTTTATATAAAAAAAAATAGCATACAACCCATGTATTTTAAATGTATTGTTTGCTTTAAATTACATTGAGATTTGTATGTTTGGTAATTGAACCTGAATGAATTATAAATGAATGTGCTATATTTCAGATCATATATTTGTTTTCCTTAAAATTTGAACTAACACTAACTTTATTCTCATCTGAATGATAGATTATTTATTTCTGTATAAAATAAAAACACATTTGATTTTTCTTTTTTAATCAATGTAGAATGTGTAACTGAAAAAATA